AAATAATGACTAAAATAAACACATAGATAAGTCACAAAACATTTATAAAGTACAAATAAAATATAAATGTTGAGAATATGTAAAATGATAACATAATTATAGATTATAAATAATAATAACATAGGAAGTGGTAGAGGAGAAAGAGGAAAAATAAGTGTATTAATTTCTTTCTTATAGAACAAGGTAATTTGATATATTGAAATGGAAATAGACAGATGTAACTAATAATGAAAACAAAGAAAGTACATAAATAAGTGGTAAAAATTATGAATGCATCAAGCTCTTTATCTTTACTGATAGGTCAATAAATACCATTCAAAGTGAATAAATTAATATACAGAAATATGACACATTATCATAAATGAGCAACAACAAAGAAAGTGCAAACAGAACTGTTACCAATAACTGTTTTTGGAAAAACAGGTTGGGGCAAGTAGTTCATTATCATTGGATATTCTTCTATGTAGCATGAAAAATATTGTCCCTATGATAAAAAAAAAAAAATATTTACTTTCAATGATTGTTATAAAGTTACACAGGTATTCTGTAGAATAAAAGCATTCTTGTTTGATGAACAGAATTATGTCAATTCTTTCCTATGGTAATCATTTTCAAGAAATGGTATGGCTGTTGAAGGATGGGAATCTCACAAGAAATAAGCAATTACTAAATAAAGCTGGCACAAAGATACAGCCTAAACTGCAGCCATTGTATGCAATGAAATGTAGAGTAATAATTCTATCTTGTACTTTCAATTGAATTTGAAGTGTATTAACTGATTAATCAGCAATAAGTGGTTGGAAACACTTCTATTTAGAGAAGGAATAGGTCTGAATGTCCCAAAAGTTACTCCTGATATTTAGCTCTGAACTCAAGCAGGATTTTGGAAGAAAAGAGAAAGAAATGTGCCTCAGATACAGGGCAGTCTCAGTGGTCCTTGCCAGGGGAAAAATCCAGACGTCCAAAGAATTGCGAGAATGACTCGTCTTGTGGTAGCTCTGGCCTCCTAGGAATTAGGAAGCACCATAAATTTCAGGAAAGGGACAGTTTGTGCAAAATTCCCAGCCCACATTTGCAGACCCAAGAGTTTCAGATGCACTTTGTCGTGAATCAGAAAAAAACAATTAGGCTTCAACCAGACTCAAACTCCACATCTCCATTGTGTGTCCATTAATTCAAACTACCAAGAATGCTATCTAATCCAAGGTGTGCAACTATTTTTATCATGCTCATTTGCATTGTCAAAAAACTGCCCCTCCGTTGGTCAACTCTGCACACAGTGTTGGTCTCTAAGATTTCTTTTTGGAAAGTGTCTAAGATTTATGGTGGGAATTACTTATGACAGCTGCATTCTTTCCACTGAGCTTCAACCACCATTTGGTTTAATATCTCCTAATTGTGTGTCTATCCTGTCTAAGCTTCTTCAAAAGAAAAACGAGAGAAAGACTTTTTAAAATCCCCTACAGCAACACCCAGTGATTTCTGCCAATGGTAAACACTATTTTGAAACATAAGAAAGTCAGCTGATGATGAACAGATAAATGCTATTTCGGTGAATGTGGATTTCTTCAGAGAATGTTTCATTAATGCTGCTAATGACAGTCTGGGAAAAAATGTAAAATAACTTAGATTTTTTGTGTCCCAGAGTATTTTTAGCATAACAGGCAAAATTTCTGTCAACATTCACAGTCATGTTATTTTCTTGAAAGAGGTAACTCTCAAAGCACAATGTTGGTACCTTGAAAACATTGCTCATTTAGAAATTGTTCAAAGTCTAATTATATTTCCAAAATAAGTAGTTTCTAGTTCAGCAAGGATAATGTGGTCATGAAAAGGATGTCCAAATCCACCAATTTACATTGGTTTGGTTTGGCATAACTTTCAAAGTTCTTGGAATAAAAAAAGGACGACACGTGAAGAATTGTAATTTGGATAACATCCCCAGGACTTTGGGTTTGCCATTTTGTCAGACACTCAGGGAAAAGGTAATCAATGTCAAGACTGAACCTATATAATTTATAATTGCTTAAATTCACTGATAAGTTCCAGATTATTTTGCAAAATGTAATACCCTCTTTTTTAATATCTACTTTGTCGTTTTCACTCTATTTATGTAATTTAAAAAGCATGATAAAGGGATCATGAGCTATTCAAAGCAGGAGTCACTAATGTCAGAGATGATTATCATTCACAAGATGGATAGTGTTGATATCTCTGAATCTGAAGGGCTTGGAAGTTGTGTCAAGTTAGATTCATATTGCATCTAATATGTTTTACTTTACTCCTCTTACTTTCTGGTTTCTATCTTAAGCCACAAAGCAGTTTCTCTGAGACTCAGCTCTATACCCACAGTGGTGGCACAGGTTGGAATGACCCTCCCTGTCTCCATCACCAGTGCTCCCTTTTCCTATCCCAGAAGAAAATTCAGTTATTAATTTAGGATGATGTTGCTTTCTTTGAACAGTATAGTGTTTTCCAAATGCTCATATGTAATGTATCCAATCCACACTACTCTTTCAAATGTTTTTGATTATTGAAAAGGAAAAAAAAAAAAAAAAAAAAAAAAAAAAAAAAAAAAAAAAACCTCTCCTGAAATTGACTAAAGACTAAGGAAAGTACTTCTTATTTTGTAATTTAAAATTTGTGTAAGAGAAAAATACAGGTTTTGGATACTGAAAATTTGGATACTGAAAATTTAGTTTACAACTTTAAATTACTTGAATTTTAATAGCATTTAAAGTACTATTGCATGAGTCCTAGCTTTAAATTACAAATGCTCTTTATTTTATACCTTATATAAAGGGATATATGAATTGAAATTATGTTTAAGTAAGATACTGATTTGCAACAAAATATTATGAGAATTCAAATAATTTCACTTATCAGTGACCTCACATAATGGCTTAGCTAATTACCAAAATGCAAATTAATTTAAAAAGAAGCATTCAAATTTTTCACTTTATTGTAATAGATATTAATTGACTTTTCATCTGTAATCATTATCTTAAATAGAACTAATTTAACTGATTCTTTTTTCTTGCATATATAAGGATTACTCATGCAGAGTACATAGACCCATACTGTCCCTTGATGTCTATTTTCTAAAATATCATTCTTCTCTAAATTCCTTCAAAACAATTGATTACCTATAGGAAAAAATTAGGGAAATTTGCCTTTCATCAAACTTTAGTTGTTTACCTGATTGTGGTGACATGTAAGTGGACATTGTTCACCTTTCTTGGTTTTGAATGATGTTTGACTACATGTGGATCCAAAACTATTCCCTAAGGCCCCAATTCCAGCATCATGAACTTTTCTCTATATACTATACAAGTCCAATGAAGTTGATTTTAAATAATTCCAAAATATTTTCCTCATTGGCTATATGTTCAGAAAAATTAAGAGGAAAATATCTGAAGGGAACACATTTACTTAAATGACAGTAAGTTCTCCAAATTTATATAATGCTTACTACTGTGAATCACAATAATTAATCATGGTGCTATGCCACCTCCCCAGGAAGTGTGACAATGGCCCCTATATGGGCTGGGAATCTCATCAGGGCCTCTTAAGAGTCTAGAGACATCTAAGAATATACACTCCTGACATTAGAGTTATATTATCAGCATTTCTTTCAGGCAATAATAGTGTCAAATAAGAGTTTCTCTTAAAATTTTCCTGTTTCTTAGTCTTCCTGATAACTAGGTCATGAAAATAACTAGATGCTATAAATAGGTGTGTCTAAAACAAGTTGTTGAATATCCATATCCACTTCCAGGATAATTCATTTTGATGACCAATTCTAATAATAATTTGAAATTAATATCACCATTTTGGCAAGGGTTTTATTTATTGGTTCCTCCATAATGTAACAACACATTACTATTGTATAGTATAAGTTATTCAACTAATTATATGCTTTAGTCAGCTTTTTTGTTGCTGTGACTAAAAGACCCAACCAGAACAACTGTAAAGGAGAAAATGTTTATTTAGGGACTTACAGTTTTAGATGTCTCAGTCCATAGACAGTCAAGTCTATTCCTCAGGGGCCTAGAGAAGCCAGAAAATCATGGCAGAAGAGTTTGGTGGAGAGAAGACTCTCACCTGGTGATCAGTAAGCAAAGAGAGACTCCACTTGCCAGATTCAAAATACATAGCCCAAAGCCACACCCCCAACCACACCCCTCCCGCCTTCAGTAACCATTTAGTCAATCCTGTTAGGGGATTAACCCGCTAAATAATTGACTCCTAACCCAATAATTTTGCCTCTAGGTCTTCTTGCATTGGCTCACACATGAGCTTTTGGGGAATACCTCACATTGAAATGGTAAAATTTTACATTTGAGTATGATTTTTATTCTATAGTTGAAATAATCAGACCAATCAATGTGTGTCATGCTATAGTGACAAGGAAAAGAGAATGGACTGGTGGCTAGGAGTATAGCTCAGTTGTAGAGCACTTGCTTTGCATGTGCAAGGCACTGGGTTCAATCCCAGTACCAGAGAGAAAGAGAATGGACTGGAATGAAGAAAGAACAAACAAACAAAGGAGGGAGAACAGGAAGAAAAGAAAAAGATAAGAAGTTAGGAAGACAGAAGAAAACAGGGAAAAAAACTCACAAAAACCTGGACTTATTTTACTTGTTCAAAAGCAGAAGACAATATACATATACCTGGAGGTTCTCATTCCTCTGGTTTAATTCCTATATTTTTATTCTAAATAAATCTTAAATGTGCTATGTCATCCCTTGTTATCTATAGCTCTTTTATGGCTCAATTAGAGTCAAAAGTTTTGATGATTAACTGTCAATTAATTTTATGATTAGTTTATTGGTATTAAAATGTTGAAGATTGCTTAGGTTAGGACACAGAAATTTGTTTTATCTGTGAGAAAGAGAGATTTGATGGTGATTTATTGCTCTCTTCCTTCTCAAATTTACTTATTCATATCATCTTGGTTCTTATGTAAGCTAATATAAAACATAACCTTTTATTTTCAGGTCTAGATGCTGATGGAATATATCGAGTTAGTGGCAATTTGGCAACAATCCAGAAGTTAAGATTTATTGTCAACCAAGGTAAAGGATATTTTTAATTTGGACATTTCCTTCTGTAATCTCTAACAAGTCTTCAGACTCTGTACTGTGGGCACTATGAAGAGATAATGATAAAACCTTTGAAGGGAGAAAGGGAAAGTTGAAGAAATTATTAAATTATCACCATAGAGGTAAAAGATAACCACTGACTTGTAGATAAATAGAAAAGAGAGAAAGACAAATTAATAATTAATGTGGAATAGATACCAAGTGGAAAAGGGCAAAATAAAAGTTGGGAAAAGAATAATCAAAAAAAGAAAAATGGGATAAAGAAAATGTGGTATATATGCACAATGGAATATTACTCAGTCATAAAGAAGAATGAAATTTTGGCATTTGCCAGAAAAAAATGGATGGAACTGGAGACTATCATGCTAACTGAAATAAGACAGTCCCCAAAAAACCAAAGGCAGAATGTTCTCTCTGATATGTAGATGCTAACCCACAACAAGGGAGGAGCACATTAGAACTTAATTGGACTAGACAAGGGGGGAGAAGGTATGGGAATAGGAAAGACTCTAGAATGAATGCAACATATCTATATGTTCTACTATACTCTACTGTCATATAAAAATAGTAAACACCAAATAATTGCTCAAATTTGTATTTATATTCTGAATCTTAACCAAAATGAAAATATCTCCCCCAAAATTAACAGCTTCTAATAGACACTTAATATATGCTGATGAATAGAAGAATGAATGAATGATGAAAATTCAAGAGTGAAAATCATGTTAGAAAAGTATTTAATCAATAAGGACAAAGATGAAAAATTAGGAAATGTGTATGTTGTCAAAGAGTTACATATTAAAATAACAAGATACCCCTACACACCTATTAGAACAGCTATGATCTGAAGCACCACCAAATGCTGACTAAGATGGAGAGCAACAGAAAATCTCATTCATTTCTGATGGAAATGCAAAATGGTGCAGTCACTTTGGAACATAGTTGGGCAGTAAATACATTCTTATCATATGATCCAACAATTTGTCTCAGATATTTACCCAAATGAGTTGAAAACTAATATTCACATAAAAACCTGCACACAAATATATATTGCAACCTTATTCATTACTGTTAACACTTGAAAGTAGGGCTGAGGATGTAGCTAATTGTTTGAGCAATTTCCTAGCATGCAGGAGACCCTGGGTTCAGTTCCACAACTCTGTATGATACTAGAGTTGTGGAAATATATCACCTTACGTTTGTCAAGAACCATATAACATACAACACAAAAAGTTAACCTTAATATTAACTATGGACATAATCAATAATAATACATCACTATTTGCTCATCAGTTGTAACAGTGACCCCACTAATATAAGATGTTAACATTGGGGGAAGCTGATGTAAAATTGATAGTGTATTATGGTAACTTTCTGTTCTTTCTACCCAATTTTTCTGCGAACCCAAAAATATTTTTTAAAAATATTAATGAAAAAATTGAAAATTAGGAAATGAAAAATAAGAAGCCCAAGACATCTTAAAGTGGTGTTAGAGAAGCTCATATGTTTTATAATAAGATAAATATGATAGAACTCAGAATTTTCTTATGCTCTTGCCATGTTATTTAACTCCTTTGTGCCTCTGTTCCTTACAGTGAAAACAGTGGGGATGCAAGTGCCTTGAGGATATTTGTGAACATACAATTAAATAATAAATATTATATTTCCTTAGTAACATGACCAGTTCATATTAGTTTTTCTTGCACTTAAAAATAGTCAGTGGATTCTTCAGAAAAATTTAGAAATTCCTCATAATCTGGCTTTGCACCCAACTTCCAACTAGCCAGCACCAGAGGATCCCCTGATCCTCAAAAGCCTTTGTGGTACTTTTATTTATTTGTTTATTTATTTATTTTGGTGGTGGTGGTGGTGCCAGGGATCAATCCCAGGGCTGGTACATGCTAAGTAGGCACCCTGCCTCTGAACGATATCTTTATCCATTTCACACTACACTCCTCAGCTCGACTCCTAAATTTGCAACCATTATATTTCATAATGCCTTTGCATGCTTTCTTCCCTTTGCTTTCAGTATTCTTCCACCTATTCTTTTTCATCCACATACATAGGCTTCCTGCCTAGTAGAATTCTTATTCTTTAAGATACAGACTGTAAGCATTTTCCATACAGAATCCTTTAGCCTGGGATTCGTCTCTGGGTTCCCATTACACTGGATGGTTGAATTTACAGTAGTGTATTTATATCCAGCATCTAAAATTCCATCTAATAAAAGATCTAATGCCACAGATCTTATGCCATTTTGGGGGGAGAGAATATAACGAAATATACTTAGTGTTTATATTCCAGAAACACTAAAAAAAAAAAAATCCCAGAATAAAAAAAAAGATAGGATACTGGTTGAAATGTCCATCTTTTCTACAAATTTTCATAAAAGGTTAAGACTTGAATTGTACTTATATTTTCCCCATTACTAGCATTAAATCTCAGGGCCTCCCAAAAGGGATTTCTTAATTAGTATTTGTTGAACAATGTACAAGTGTAGTAGGTAGAAGCATTAAAAATGCCAAACATTAAACTCTCCATTAATTCTACTTGGGTTGAACCACCCAGTTTGGATTGTAGTACGTTAGGAAAGCTGCCCCATGATTCTTATTTCTCAGAATCTCTATAACTGAGAAGTTCAACAACTCTGCTATTGAATGCTTGTCTTTTGGAATTTCTTTCCTTCCTGGGAAAAAACACAGAACTAAACTTTACCTTATTTATTCAGATTGGTCCCATTGGACAGAATGAGAGTGCCACTTCTTTGGGTAAAATTGAGATAAAATAGCCCCAGCTTCATTTTTGTTCCTGTTTATAACCAGCTAAAATCATTCTTATAATATATTTCATGCTGAAACCATATCCTGATTGGGATTCTAGACAGCTGGGCAACACATTTCTTCTACTAAGAAGAAATCTCAAAACAGAAGCCCTGCTAGAAACAAACACTAGTTGCATTTCCTGCCTTAAAAAAAACTATTCTCAGCAGTTTGAAAAGGAAAAAAAAAATCTGCAATGAAAATATGAAATCTGTCCATCTCGTCTTTTGCAGTCCAAACTTCAGCGTCCTCTGAGGCTATGTAACTGCTCATGTTTCCATGAAAGTTGACAATGTAAAGCTGGACAGAGTCCTGAGTTGGTATCTGGTAGCAGAGAATTGTCAGTAAACTGTCTCCCTGGTTTATAGCACTGTCAAAATGCAACACATTCAACACAAATTATGCTACATCAGGACCTTTGATACCAGTGACTTTGTCCAAGTTGTGCTGTGGAGTTTTTTGAATTAAATGATAAATGAAATGTGCATACCAGCCCCTTTCAAAATTTGCTAATTAGATTATCCTTTAAATGAATCTTCTGGAAGGGTTTCATAAACCTTGTGACTAACACCATACCTGCCCTTCCAACCACATGAAGGCTTTAATAGTAGACGGACTTAGAAGAGAACCAGTGCTAGGAACAGAGGCTGCCATGTACATTGTGGCTGTGTGTATGTGTGTGTGTGTGTGTGTGTGTTGGGGGTAGAAAGATGAAATAAAAAGGCAATACAGTGATAACTCCATGAAAAGCATAAAGCACTTTGCAAATGGGATGAGCACATTTTTGTTGTCTAAGATGGAATACAAATGATATTGAAATACCCTCCTTGTAGCAATACCTTCTTGTCTCCTCTGTGTTCACCTTACTCAATGTTCCTTTCAAGGAGGCTTTTATACATGTTTTTAAATATACGTGTTTTTTTAATGAATAAGCCCTACCCACTGTTAGACTAGACAAATGAAAACTGACTTTGGAGATTTTCAAGAACAGTTGAATTGCAATTTGCATGTTTCACTAACTTTCTTGAATGCTATAATCATCAGCAATTCTAAATACACCAGTTGAGTGATTCAATTTGTTTTGGTTTTCTGTTTGACTCATGAAATCAGAAGGGATTAGATACCCTTAATTATACTTCTAGATCAGATGATATACAAGTTAAGTCCAAATATATCACTTTTGAGAAGCATTTCCTAATTATAAATAGTGATGATAATAATTATTATTATAAACGAAGCTAGCATTTTCATAATGTTTTATGTATCAGGCACTGTACTGAGTACTTTACATGTATACTTTAATAGTGTCTTCAGTGACATATATAGTTATTCTCTTTTTTTAAATGGAGAAACTGAGGCTCAGGTGTTAAATAGTGTCCTAAGGTCATACAAATATAAGCAAGAGAGCTAGGAATGTATCTTGGATCTCTGACTAAGGACCTGGGCTGCTTACCACTTCTGTGACTCTTCTCTTCCCAATCATTAATTTTTTATTACACTTTTTTAAAAGCAGACAGCAGTCTTTTCATGCTACACATGTTGGTTTGTGACTTTCCATTTCCATCCTGCTTATTGATATTGGTAAGTGAAAAGTACTACCATTAGAATTTGGTGAAAATTGTTCAAGAAGAGAGATAGCTGGGAAAATACCAAACATTATAGTTATGAAGAAGCCTGGCACTGCCATTCCCTATAGGGATTTGTGTATTTACATTTAGACAAAGAACCAGTACTCAGTTCTAGCCTTGTTGAATGGCATCGAGTATTCTCGGTTTAGTGGGATGAGGGTACATTAGCGAGTAGTCCTCTGCCTTGTTTGTTGAATTTGGTGACAGCTTTCAGTGACATTTTGCTGATGTAACTCTTCTGCTCTATGCAAGCATCCCCCAAAGAAAATGGTCCATGACCTTAGATGTCAACCTGTCATCAGCCCATGTCATTACGTTGATTCTTCAGAATGATCTGTGACCTCCTGATGGTTTTCTAGCATGGTACTTCTGCAAAGGACAGACTTCAGAACAGAGGATGCTGCATAACTGTGTTGAAAACTTTTGACAGTAGGTCTTGGAAATCCCACCAGACTGAATTCCCCCTCTTCCCCATATCAGAACTTGATTTCAGCTGCTATCTAGGCTTATTGCCCAAACTCGAAAT